ATCTATCCAGCAAAAGAGAGACCATCGAGCTAGACGAGAGTTCACGAACAAAGTGGCAATGACTCGGTGTCATGACTCCATCATCATGAGACGAGTCAGGGCGAAAATTAAACCTTTTTCTCCCAAGTATCTCTTGACAGCCGCCGCAGCATTCACGCGGCCGAAGGTAAGGGTCTCTACCCCTTTACTGTCCTTGACACCTTGGGTGGCCGTATCCTTGATGATACTTTTGATGTAAGCAGGGGTCAGCTTAGCCTTCAGAGAAGGTTCAAGGCTGTAGAGCATCCCAGCTATACCTGCTACAATAGCGGCGGCATGCGAAGTGCCCCTACCTGTGGCATACTCCCCTTTGAGATCAGTTGTAACTATTCCGTTACCTGGAGCGGCAATGTCAACAGCTGAACCGAAATTGCTTCCATCCGTAAGCTGCATGTTGGGACCATACGTTGCAGCCACACATAACACTCCATCAGCGGGTGAACGGCCGAAGGAACAAGGGAAGTCTGGATTTATGTCCAAATCGCGGTGCTTATTCCCTGCCGTGACGACAACGAGCATGCCAGCTGCATTTGCTTCCTGAATCTTGTCGGTAAGGGCTTGGGAACTCTCTGAATCGGAACCTTCCGTCATGAGAATAACTTTCACATCATCTTTCCTCTTATTGATCAGGTAGGTGAAAGCATCCACCATTGCGGGAAAACTCGGAGCTTCACCGTCGAATATGGGCAGTATGCGCACACTGTCCAGAATGCCCGCCAAACCGATCATGTTATTTCTGATAGCACCAATGATGCCAGCCATGCTGGTTCCATGATGTCCTCGAGGACTGGTATCATAATTCTTATCAATGACGTTGTAGCCCTTGATGACGGTACCCTCCAAGTCAGGGTGAGTGGCCTCGATTCCGTCGTCAATAACTGCGATGGTCACAGGCCTTCTCTTGGCAATGGGATCCAGGATACTCCAAGCCTCCGGTATAGAGATGGCCTCAAGATAAGCCTTCTGCATGTAATAGAATTTGTCGTTAGGATCGCCGTTCACAGGACCGAGCCCACGGAAATAGCCACTTTCGTCCACTTCTGCTTCAACGTAGAGAAGCTCGCACGAGAAGAACCAGAGTGATGTTACGAGGAGTTTCATTGTAAGCCACTAGGATGATCAATTCGTTGTGCTTCGGCGTGTCGAAGTGTACGCGTGAACTACCTCTTTTGACTGGCACATTTGTTCGCGCACGTGGATTTTTTTCGCGCGCGGCACATTGTTTGGGATCCCTGACGATGGATCTGAGCTTCTTTCCGAAAGAATCTTTCGTCATCCACGGGATTATAAAGCAAGTCGAGATAGCGCAAAACCTCGATACGCCTCGTGTCCTCGAGTTTCCAATGGCGATTGAAGAGAGTTCTCATTGTTCGGAACCCCTGACGATGGATCTGAGCTTCTTTCTTCATGCGCGAGATTGGAA